CTAGAAACTATTATAACCTACCCAGCTGGAAAAGCACAACTACTCAAAGCTAACTCAAGTTTTATTTAAATTCTGGTTTTCACCTTCATGGAACTTTTCTTTAGTAAGCCTACATGGCCACGATTAGAACATTTCAGAAGGAAAAAATGCTTCTTCAAAGATAGGCTGAGAGATTTAATTCAAGTGTCTGGGGGGAAAATAACTAATGTGAAGGTAGAAGGCACAACCTCTGGGAATAGCTGTGCAGGTCACCGTGACTGAGCCTTTACCTGCCCCAGATGGGAAGAGTCATCTACTACTTCAAGACCTAGGGAAGGATTTTGAGTAATACTTGCCACGTGTCAGTGTCTTGTCACAGAGAAAAATCACAGGCACTCATTTTACCAGTGATGGAGCCAACTTCTACAGTTGGACAACTGTCCATACACATCTTTTTGTCACCTGGCAGCCCAAAGCAGATGTCTGAAACTCAGATCCTCCCCTCCCCACTCTGCATTTTGCTAAATGGGGTCTCTCTTTATTGCTTGTTGCCAGATTGATAGCTGTTTTGGGCTTTTCTCTTCCTATGGTAAGGCTTTTCTTCTACCCTGTGCTGCCCCTCACCTCTTCCCGAGCCCATCCCACAATCACGCATGGCATCCTGCCAATTAAAATGGGTTAAATTATTTTTCAGTCAGTCCATATAATCTTATATCTAGGACATATAATCAGTCCATATAATCTTATGTCTTGTACCTGGGTTATCTGCAGATATATAGGCCTGAGAGCCGCATCTTCGTTGAGCTTCCATAACTGACTGACTCATCCAGTGTAATGTATTTTTTTCCTTAACCTCTTAGAGCAGCAAGCGATTTGAGGTTGGCATTCCTGGAGAGATCTTGGGGCAGAGGGATCGCTATCACATCAGCGTTAATGTGTGGTTTGTTTGTAGTTTTCTTTGGGTACAGCAAGGGTGGGGACCCAGCGGGAGATTTCAAGAGCTTTTTCTTACAGATATGAAAGATATTGAGATAAAAATTCAAAATTAATTCTACCTGTTTTTCTGAACAAAGAGAATATTCAGAGTTGCTTTGTGTTTATTCTAAAAGATTAGAATCTTTGCTCAAAGCAGTAAATGTGAAGGCTACGTGGGTAAAATTCTATTCCTGGCACTTTTCCATGTGTATCTCAGCTCAGCCCTTGTGGCATCTGACTGTGCCTTCTCGCCTTTCCCTTTTTTGATATTTCACGTAAATGAGCCTCATGCATCTGCCCTCATCTCTGCTCTCTCTCTCTCTCCCTCACTTGCCTTCCTCCTGTTGCCTGCAGCCATCATCAACTGAGGCATGTGGTCCTCCAAGTCTAAATCCCTAATCCCATAACCCCTATATCCCGCCGCCTTGTTTCCCACTGCTAGCTAGACTCTTTCCTCCCTCAATCTCACCCTGTTGTCTTGCCAAACCACACCACTGGACAGTCACCCAGTCATGCCCTGAATTTGGTTTCCTTTGTATTTAACTTTCACTCAGTATGCATTGAGCACCCTTACTTGTCATGTGCATCATCAGGCCTTGGAGATGCAACAGTGAACCAGAGAAACCACACAGCCCTGCCCAGGAGGAGGTGACAGGCTTGCCTCCGGTCGTGTTGGCTCATGTTGTTTCTGGGTCTGGAGTGATCCTCCTCCCACCTCCCTTTCTGCGTGTCCAAGTCTGTCCATTCTTCAATGCCTGGTTGGCTGCTCCCTCCTCCCTGAAGCTCTTCCTCAGAAACTCTGGCCAGAGGTGACCTCTTCTGCTCCCAACCTCCTGCTTGTTTGCCTTTTTTTCTTGCATTATAGCCACTTGGGTATTTTCTTCTTTCTCTTCTTTGAGTATAGGCTTCCCAAAGGCAGGGACTGGGACTTCTATGTCTTTGCCTCTTCATAGCACCTAGCATAACGACACAGATGCAGTAAGTGTGCATTACATGTGCCGAATAAATTCAGGAATGAATGAAAACTCACTTAAGTTTTTCTCTAGTGTGTTTTTGCCTTGTGTTTCTTGCTCTTTATTAATCATGAAAGTTTAATGAAATTGGTTTTCTTTTTCTGTGAGTATATATAGCAGGCACACAGTAAATAATTTTGAATCATGAATTGTAATAAAATTATAGTCAAAAGGGGATGGGGAAATGTTTATGTTTATAGGCATATTTTCTTAAATTATGCAAAGCTAATAAATCAAGTGAAAAGGTGTCTTAGAAAATGAAATGTTTAAAATGCTCATCGCCCATACTTTACTTCTAATAATAAAGTAATAATGTCTTTCTCTGGGAACTTACATGGAGAGGAGAGAAGACAGGTTCAGACCTAGGTTCGAATCCCAGCTCTGTCATTTACTGGTTATGCAGCCGGGGCCAAGTTATTCAACGTGTCTGCTCTTCAGTCTTCACCTCTGGCTATGAGCGTCTTGACAGTCTTGCTCATCTTTGAATCTCTCTTTTCTAAAACAGTGCTTTGGATGGATGGGAGAGAGGAAGGAAATTACCTGCCTTGTTTATCTATACTCTATTTTGAGAGTTAACAGTAATGGCTGTAAAAGCAGTGACTGTTCAACCCATGGCCATTTTTCTTTTCAAGTTCAAAAACTGCTACTTTGGTTATGGGGTGATTTCACTGATCCTTATGATACCTGTATTCTTTGTGACATTGTGTTTATATGCCAGGGCATGCCATGTCTCAAACCTTCTGAATCCATCCATTTGGGGCTACAGTAATCCGGTTCATTTTAAGCTACTGTATTTTGTTTTAATGCATATAAAACAGTATTAAAGAAGTCTGTTTTGTTTTACATTTTAAATTGTTATTTTACAGAAGTTAAAAAATTTAAGTTCTAATAAATTATCAAGCATTATATGAAAATTTGACAGTTCTGTCATTCCCCAAATTGAAAACTCTCCTAACAAAGTAAAATGCACAGACGTTAAATTGTTAGTACCTAATAAGGCTCAAAATATTTTGACCAAAATGATCTTTCTGTCATTGATACTATTAATCCTGTTGCTTTTTGAGAGCATTCATTTTTCCTGCCTTTGCCTTTTTAGATTCTGGTCAATTCTGAGAACTACTGGTCTCAGCAGCATTCATGTGTTTTCGGGCAATATGAGTGAAAATGGAAATATTTATTGTTTACTCAAATGTGCAGAAATTCAGTGGAAAGTTGGACAAGGACAAAATATTTGTAGTACTTTCTTTTTATTAAAAAATACATAAAGTTTTTATAGTCAGAGAACCCTCTCTTTATCAATTGTGAAGTAGAGATTTTTAAGTTTAATTGTTATTTTTGCAGAATAAAAAGTTCATCATTTTATAAAGTAATTTGATTCACATATTTACTTAGTCTTTAGCATGAGAGAGACCTGTACTTGAAAACTGCATTTTTTTTCCTTCATCAGGAGGAGTGGTTATGCTCTGTAATGCTATGCTTAAGTAAAATTACACATTTGGGGCATCTAAATTGACATGTGAAATTATAGGACATTTTAATTATTATGTGGATGTGACAGATTCAATTATTCTTGAACTCTTTTGAGAAAGCTGCCCTTAGCAGTGATTCAGAGTAGTAAACAAAAGATTAACAGGAAAATGCTCTTTATGAGACTTAATAAATGTTTCCGATTAAATTGCATGGGACAGAATTAACTGCTCTATGTAGATGTGGAAGAACAACCTGTGTCCTGCTTAGAGTTTTGGCATATTCTCTTAAGATAAATTTACTCTAAATATGGCCTAAATGAAGAACTAAGTACCACTTAACGTCAGAACTCTTCCCAGCCGCGTCATTTGGGCCAATTGTTTCAGACTCTTTCTTCCCTCTGAAACCATTAAGCAAAGCCACTAATAAGTAGAGACACAGAGTGAAAAGCTCCTTCCTCTCCCTTTCAATTTCCAGTGGACATATTAATGAGCAATAAAACAGCTAAAAGGCAGGCAGCTAAAGAAAGAAAGAAGCAAAGAAAGATCATTATAAAAACAGATTCAGACCCTCAGCAGTTCAGATCAGGCTGCCTGCATGTGCTGTGTGGGCCGTGATCACTGGAATCTGGAGCTCAGTTTCTTAATTGCTTCTTTAGTCTTATCCAAAGAGAAAATTGGATTTCTAGAGATTTCTTCTGTGCAGAGCAGTTATGCTAAAGCTGCTTAGGTAGCAGCTCTTTTGGCTAGCCGTTCTCTCTCGGATTAATAAACTACAATCAGATCTGAACTTCAGGACACAACTTAACCTCGCTGACCAAGGGTTCAGCCCCTCTTAGCAGCTCTCATAGTCTAGGACCCTAAAGAAATTCCAGAAGCATTTACTTCTTTTCCAAATGTTGCTCAGGTTCTGTCAGACCAGGTCAGCAATTAATTTGTTGCCATCTGATTTGTATGATATTACACTGTGTTTTAGATAAATTGAGTTTGAGTTTCTCAAATCAAGAAGTTTCCCAACTCTGAGGGCTGTTTATATATACTTTCTTTCTTTTTTTTTTTTTTGACCAGTAAGGGGATTGCAACCCTTGGCTTGGTGTGGTCTGCAAGACGCTCAGCCAGTGAGCACACCGGCCATCCCTATATAGGATCCGAACCCGGAGTGTAGGCACTATCAGCACCGCACCCTGCCAAGTGAGCCACGGGGCGGCCCTATTCATATATACTTTCAAAGCTCAGAGTCTGAGAGTTAAAAGCAGTAACTAATGTTAACAACCCCACATGCCTTTGGCAGAATATAAAGTTCCCTAAGACTGCTGAATGCCTGTAATGATAGTTTAGAACTTTGTTTCTTCCCATCCTATAACATTATAATAATAAAAGGTCAGGTTAGGCCTTTGTTTGCTTCCGCAAACAGGGTAATCAAACCATTTAAACACCATCCAGACCTACCACCCAAACAGATTCTCTATATTCTCCTTCTCCTGCCCCTTTCCGAAATATTGTCTGAGTTATAATAGGTTACTGCAAAACATTGTGTTTCAATGGGTTTCTTTCTGCTGATGAACAGGTTTTGGATGCAGGAAGGCTGAAAGAATATGATGAGCCATATGTTTTGCTGCAAAATAAAGAGAGCCTCTTTTACAAGATGGTGCAACAGCTGGGTAAGGCCGAAGCCGCGGCCCTCACTGAGACAGCAAAACAGGTGAGTGCCCTCCGAGGACTTGTAATTAAAGTTTGTCTCAATAGTTCGCCCCTCACAGTCTGGCTCCGTGGACATGGTAACAAGCACTGTGTGCCCTTTTCAATTACAAGCCTCCAGAGATGAAGCCTCATGGCTGGGCCTTAACAACACGTCCCGGGTTAAAGTCAGGTCTGCAAGGAGTTGGCAAAAGCCGGTGGGGGATGCAGGGTGGGGAGCACACAGCAGGGTGTGTGCACGCACGTGTGCAAGCCAGAGTGCCTGCAAGGGAGAGAGGTTTCAGCCTGGACTGTACACGTTTAGACTCTGTAGGTTCAGATTCTCATATTAACAGCCAGAGAGCACATATTTTGCTGGCCCGTTGCTTTTCATTCTTACTGGGGCTTAGCACATTTGAGATGCAAATCCTGTCTAGGTACATCCAGAAATTTGATAGTTTAAGGAAAAAAATGACTATTGTTTATCGCTTTTGTTTTTTGTTTTATAATTTGCAAAGAAAACTCCTACATGATACTGTCACCCTCTCCCCAGGTTTCTCCCTGATTCTTTGTTGTTTAGGATTAGGTCCAGATACTCCTTTATGCTTCCTCTACTTTCGAGTAGATGAAATTGTCATCAAGACAAATCAAGAGTTTATAATACCTTAAAGCTGTAGTCTGAATAGTGCTTGGAGGTTTACAAAGCCTAGAAGACGTTCAAGTTACATGAGATCTTTCCAACAACGATGATGTAGTATAATTTCTTTCTACAGATGTGTTAACTGTGGTTTGGTTGAAGGGACTTAGCCAAAGTCACACAGTCAGTTCTTCCTCATAATTCTGTCAAGTGGGAGTTGTACTGATGGACGGGTGGAGGGAGGCTGGAACGGTGTCCTTGCCTCTGGATCGGTGTGGCTTAGGGAGGAATGAGACTCCCCATCAAAACTGTCTCTAGGCATTTATCACGTGGGTATATGTTTTCCCTTCTTTCTACATTTCCTAGATTTTCAGCACCATAGGTGGAATAAAATTGCTTGTTTTTGTGTAATATTTTAAAAATCTATTAAAGACAATAGAATAAGAAAACATGTTCCAGAATCTAGCAGTCCTTCTGTATGAAAGACATCTAAAATACAGCCTGGGTTTCCTTCTGTCACTGTTTCTTTTCCTTCCTCCTTAGAAATGAGGAGCTGTGCCTTTCACTGTTCCTAAAAACTTATCAGTAAATCCTCAAACCGTTCAGTAGATGCCTGTGTGTACACAGCATTATGCTGGGTACTAACACGTTACACACGCCCTAGTCATCGACAGTATAAACCAGAGAGTACAGGGGAGCAGAGCTCCTCGGTTTATACATCGAGCCTTTGTGATGTGATGGTGATGATGATACGTGCCGTACGCTGCGCTCTGATACGGGTTCTCGTACCTGTATCAGCCCGTTGAAGAAGCTGATACTTAGAGAGGGGAAGGAGATTGCCTAGGATCACATAGAGCTGAATAACTGGCAGAGTCAGGGTTCAGACCTAGGTTTAGGGACGACAAAGTCCGTGTTCTGAACTTTTCATTGAGTACCTACATTGTATGTCGATGAGGATAGAAGCTGCTCTTGGAGCACTGTATTTTTTTTTTTATGCCTGAAACCCACAGAATACTTTCATCTTCTAAGGTTTCTCCCAGTCAAAGCTTTGCTCATAAGACCTGATCAGTTGTCTGGGATTCCCTGTATAACCTACCCACAAAACAAACAGGAACCTCAAAAAAACCTTTTTGTTCTTTGACTCCTCAGGCATTTCACATCAAAGAGATGTGTCCCCACCTACTTGTCAAAATCCCCGTTTTAAAAATGTGTTTGCATGTATTATCAAGGCGTAAGAAATAGATCGTAGCATTTTATATAGGTCAAGATAACATAATTTAGTTCAATACACTTATTTTACAGCTGAGGAAACTAAGGCCCCAAGAAGTGAGGTGGCCCAGTGTTAATGCTAGTTTATAGCAGACAGAATTAGAAATCTTTTCCTCCAGTTAATGTTTTAATACAAGTGTAACTTACATATAGAAAAGCACATAGGTTATAGAATTAGAAATCTCTTGATTCCTGGTCTCGTAATTTTTTATCCAATTCAACACTATTATGATAACTTACACTTGTGTAGTTCTTTGTAATTTATTTTACATAGTTTATGTAGTTCTTGCATGTATGGTGCTACTTAATACTCACAGCAGTTCTTTTTTTTATCCCACTTTACTGATGAGGATGTTGGCTCAAGGGTTCTCATGAAGACACAGATCTAGTGAGTGGAGAACAGAAGGCAGGTTGCAGGGTGAGGCTGATATGTTGCCTTAGGTCCTGTGTTCTGTGTCGAGTTTGAAAACATTATTCACGCAAGTTCACACGGTGGCAGAACATCCCTCTTGGATTTCAGTCCTGCCTGACCCCTGGCTCAGGTCGCCTCTACAGAAAGACAAGAGGAAATACATATCTGGATCCTCGTCCGTGTATCTTCTTGACATTGTTTCTGCATACACTTAGTCCTCTTTGGGAGACATGCTGTCAGGTTGTCAACCTTTTACTTGTACAAGCATCAAATATCAGTGCATCATGCAGAACTGTAACAGCACAAGGATTAGTCTAAACCAACAAGCTTTTCACTCTAGCAGATTAGAATTCATTCGTTTGAAAAGAAAACTCAGCATCTGGGAAAAGGTACTTCCAAGTCACGTATTCTTGACCACATAGTTGCTTTTCTGAAAATGTTGGTGCAGGCAAGCTGAATCACTCACTGTTTGACATTTATAGATGATTCATGAAAAAGCAGAGAATGTACTTTTTAGATACATAAAGCAGAGGGTGCATTAGTTTGTTCAGGCTGCCATAACAGAGCACCACAGACTGGCTGGCTTAAACAGCAGATGTTTATTTTCTCACATGCTGGAGGCTGGAAGTCCAAAGTGAAGGTGTGGAGGCAGGGTTGGTGTCCTCCAAGGCCTTTCTCCTTGGCTTGTAGATGGCCATCTTCTGGCTGTGTCTTTATATGGTGCTTCCTCTGTGTGTGTCTGTCTTAGTCTCCTCTTCTTATGAAGACATTAGTCTTATTGGATTAGGACCAACCCTAAAGACCTCATTTTAACTTAAATACCTCTTTAAAGACCTTGTCTCCAAATACAGTCATATTCTGGGGGAGGGGGGGTTTAGGACTTCACCATATGAATTGGAGGTGGGGACATAATTCAGCCCATAACAGAGGTGAATGCCTGTCATTCTCCTCCTGATGAAGCAGACCTAACTGAGGTTTTCAAAGTTCCTTTGTTCCCCGTGTAATGGAGCTGCTCTTTTATCTATCCATGAAATCACCAGGTACAACTCAGAAGTTATGAAATCCTAACATCCTGAATTCTGAGATCCTGAACCTTTTTGAGTAGGTGGAGGGGGCACTTAGCAGCCAGTGACCTTATATAAGTCACCCAAAATCTTTGAGCCTCAGATCCTCGCTTGTAGTGCTGGGATTGCAGTACTTCCCCAGCTTCTTCATAGTTGCAGATCTTAATAAGATAAGTTTAAGTGCTTCAAAGAATATAAAGCAATTTACAAATATAAGCAAATTCTACCTATTGATGATAAAGTTTGATCGTTCTTTAAAAGGCTATAGTCTGAACCCTTACCTCCCAATAATAAGAAAAGATGTATCCAGAGTTCTCATAAGTGGCTTTAGAGACTCTAAATAATTAAAAATTATACTTAATAATCAGCTTTACCAATGATACACGCCAATGCTATAAAATTCAGATAGTTAATAGTTTTTTAATTTTATTTAAGTCATTCTCCCACTCGTGTCTCCCATCACGCAGTTTCTCTGCAGGGTGGAGCCCCAGCACCATTTCTACAGTTTTGCTGATATGCTCTGTGCAAAACAAGAGCATGTGCATATGTGGCCTTTCCTTTTTTTTAAGCATAAATGATAACTATTTCTTACTTTTTTCATTTAATATTGTACCTTAGCTTATATTAATACATAGTTATCTCATTTTTTAAATGGCTGCCTAGTATTTATACTTTCTTCACTCTCTACTTTCCATTTTTTCCTTCCAATTAATGTAGCTATTCTATTTTTATGTTTTTCCCCCAAGAATGGGCTCTTGGATTTATTTACTAGTTCTTGTATTCTGTTTTACAGTTGATCAGTTTCTGCTTTTATCTTTATTAGTTCCTTGCCTTTTCATTTATTTTGTTGTTGCTTCTTCTTGAATGCATTTATTCTCGTTCTTTCTTGCTGATTAATACGAATATTTTAAGGCTGTAAATTTTCCTCCTACTACTGCTTTAGCTGCATCCTATAGGTTCTGATGCATAGTGCTTTCACCTTGTCCATTTTTCATATATTCATTCTGTAATTTTGATTTTTATTTCCTCCTTGGCCCAGAAATTATTTAAGAGGGAGGTTTTTAAACTTCTTAGTGATAAGGGTTTGTTTTTTATGTTTGTTTGTTTTCTCTTTTACTCATCAGTTTTACTTTCATTGCTTTTTGATCAAGCAATGTTGTCTGTACTCTTTCTACCCATTTGGAATTTATTAATGTTTTTTTGTGTCCTAGTATATGGACAATTTTTGTGAATGTCATTTGGACATTAAAAAGATGGAGTATTGTTAAAGAGTTTAAAAACTTTTAATTAGGTCTGCTTTACTAATTACACTATTTAGTTCTTCTCTATCCTTATTCATATTTGTCTATTTGATGTGACTCGGATCTAGAGAGATCAATGAGTCTCATATGGTACACGTTTCTCTTTGTATTTCCTGTCAGTTTTGTTTTGGCAATGTTGATGCTATGACTTTCAATCCACAGATGTTCATAACTTGGGGTTTTCACTATGAATTATAATTTTTCCCATTTTAAAGTACCTTTCTTGGATTAATTTATTGCTTTTGGCCCTTAATCCAAGCTGGCTCAAAACTAAGATTGGATCTCCTGCTTTCACTTTGTTTTCATTTGCCCATTATGTCTTTGATTGTTTCTTAAAATCCA